AATTTATTATTGAAAATTAAATATGGGAATTAAAATTATATAATTTATAAAAAGACTTATAAGGTAAACAAGATTTATTAAAAATATAATTTAATGAAGCAATAGAAAAATAAAAAAAGAATTAATCTAATAATTTAAATATGAGCTTGAAGAATTATTAATAAAAAAAATTACTGAAGAAATTAATAAAGAAAAAATGATAGAATATTTAGAGATAATGAAATAGAAGCTAATATGGTTTCTATGAAAAATTTTCTACTTGAAAATTTTAATTAGTAAATAGATTCTGTAAAAGCTATAACAAGAGCATATATAGAAGAAGAAGGAATTGAAAGAGCTAAAAATGATTAATAAATTATAGGCTTAATAAAAATAAATATTGACAATTTGGAAAATTCATTAAAGTAATATTTTTATTATATATAAATAAAATAATATGTAAATTTATATGAAAAAATATAAAAAAATTCAAAAATTAAAAATATATATAAATATATTTAAATTTAGAAATTTTTATTAATAAAATATATTAAATAAAAAAAATTTGAAAAATTATATACGAATAAAAATACATAAATACAAAAATATAAAAAAATATAACGTAGATATAGAGTAAAAATATAAATAAATAATAAAAAATATATATAAAAATTAAAATATTTATAATAAATAAATATTAATATATATGCATAAATATTTAAAATATAAAAAAATAAAGAAAATATATATATTAATAAATATTTATATTTTTATTTATATATATATATATATATATATATATATTTATATATTATTAGATTATATATAACTTCTACTATTTAATAAATATAATAAGAATTTGAAAAAGAAAAATAAGAAATTTAAGATAAAATTAATCTATTTTAAGAAATGTTAATTAAAGAATTAAAAAATATTTAAAAGTATTTAGATGATTTTATAATTGAAATTAGAACTGAGATTTATTTAAAAGATGCTTATCTCAAACTTAAAGATGATTTTAATTAAAGAGCATTCTAAAATATAGAAAATTAATTTATATAATAAAAAAAAATGATTGAAGAAGATTATTTGTTAATTTAATAGGAAATTTAAAACAGATAAAATTAGTAATATTAAAATAATTTTTTTTTTTTTTAATATTAAATTTTAATTTATTATGCAATTTTTATTAATTTTATTTTATTTTATTTAAATAAAAAAAATTATTTTTTGTATTTATAAAAAATATAATTAATAAAAAAAAAGATATAATTAAAGAAATTTAATAAAAAAATATATATATATATATATATATATATATATATATATATATATATATATATATATATAGATTAAAATAGTTTAATCTTATGTTATAAGAAAATTTAAATGAAATTAATTATAAAATGAATTAGAATTTATAAATAATTGATAATAAAATTTAAAAATCAGAAATTTAATTTAGTTAAAAATTTTAAAAATTTGAAAATGATCTGAATTTGAAAATTTAAGAATAAGAAAGTTACGTTAATGAATAATTACAAAAACTAGAAAAATAATTTAATGATAATTTATAGAAATAAGAATAAGAAATTATATAATAATTATAAAATCAAAAAGATAAAATTAATGATATGATATTTGAACTTTAAGACTAAATTAATAAAATAAACGAATTAATAGACTAACTAGGATAAGATAAAAATTAAAAAGATGAAGAAATTTAAAAAAAAATAAACGAACTCTAAGAAAATATAAACGATAAATTATAAATACAAGAAGATCAAATAAACTATAAATTTTAAAAATAAGAAGATCAAATAAACGATAAATTATAAAAATAGGAAGATGAAATGAATGATAAATTATAAAAATAAGAAGATTAATTAAACGATAAATTATAAAAATAAGAAGATGAAATGATTGATAAAATATAAAAATAAGAAGATCAAATAAATGATAAAATATAAAAATAAGAAGATGAAATAAACGATAAATTATAAAAATAAGAAGATGAAATGAATGATAAAATATAAAAATAAGACGATCAAATAAATGATAAATTCTAAAAATAAGAAGATGAAGTAAATCTAAGATTAGAAAATCAACAAAAAGATATACAGGAAAAAATAGACAATTTAGAAAAAGAAATAGATGAAAAAATATAAAATTTAAAAGATGAAAAAGGCGAGATAAATCAAGAAATGTAATAAAAAGATGATTTAATTTAAGAATAAATAAAAAAATTAGAAGAAGAGATAAATGAGAAAATATAAAAATAAGAAACTGAAATAAATGAAAAAATCGAAAAAATAGAAGAAAATTTAAACGATAAAATATAAAATAACGAAAATGAATTTAATTAGAAAATCGAATAATAAGAAACTTAATTAAATGAAAAAACAGAGTAAATTAAAAAGAGAATGATGAATTAATTAATGGGTTAGAAGAAGATTTTAATAAATAACTTGATGAAATTAATAGAATTATTGATGAACATAAGGAGGAGTAGATAAAATATAAGGAAGACATGGAAAATTAATTAGAAGAAATTAAAGAATAAATAAAAGAAAAATAAGCAAGTAATGAAAATAAAGTAAATAATGAAGGCTAAAATGATTAATTTAATGAAATTAAAGAACAAATTGAAAATATAGAATCAATTAAGTTACCTGACTTAGCTTAAGATATTCAAAATGCTATTTAGATGATAGAAGATTTGAAAAAATAAAATGAATAAGATATAGAAGAATTGAAATAAAATAATAATAATAATAATAATAATAATTAAGGTAATTCTTAAAATAATAATATAGATGAATTATAAAATAAGGTACTTTATTTAAAATTTTAAACCATTTTTAATTTATAAAAATCTTATATATTTTTTATTTTTATTTTTTTTTAAAAAAAATATATAAACATTTTAAGGTAGATGAAATGTAAAATAAAATTGATGAATTTAAAAATGACATTGATGAAAAATTATAAAAAATAGAAGAATAAGATTAAAAAATAGATGAGATTAAAAATGATATTTATGAGAAATTATAAATTATAGAAGTATAAGATTAAAAAATAGATGAAAATAAAAATAGTTTAGAAGAAGTTAACGAAAGACTCAAAAACTAAGATGAAGATATTCTTAAAATATAAGATAAAATAAATGAAATTGAAAATAACAATTTAGCTGTAGGACAAAATCTAGATGATATTAAAGAATTAAATGAAAAAATAGAAAAAATATAAGAAAGACTCACAATTATAGAGTCTAAATGAAAAAATAATATAATAAAAGTTTATATGTAAAAAAGATATGTTTTTTATTTTAAATCTTTATATATATAAATATAAAATTGGTATTTTATTTTTGCAATAAAAAAAAAAAAAAAAAAAGTTTATAAATAAATAAGAAAAAATACTATGGACAAAAATCAAATAAAATCACTTTAATATGATCCCCTCGAAATCGTCTAAGGTATAAAAGACGACTAAAATGAAGAATAGTACGATGGTACATATTCCGATTCTAGTATAGAATCGGATTCTGAAAATACACAAAATAATAACGAATACACACATTAAGATGAATAAATAATACCCGAAGATGACACAAAAAAGCCTAAATAAAAGAAAAAGCAGAATCCTTTAAAAAAGAAATTTGCTCAATAAACAAATATAAAAAAATAATATAAAATAACTATGAATGTATCAGGTTTTTTTAAAAAAAAGTAAAATATAAAAATAATAAATAATTATATATATATATTATTATATAGATACATAATACCCTGTAGTAAAATTTGTAGGAAAGAAATTATTAAAATGGAGACTTAGTTATGATTCTGAAAATACTGAATGTGACATATATTGGACTGATAATGCAGTTTAACCAGAATAATTAGGTAAAATGTAAGCATATTAGAAAATTAATCATTTCCCTGGTATGTTTATTTTAGCCAGGAAGAATTATTTGGCACGCCATTTAAAAAAAATGTAGAAATAATTTCCAGAAGAATATAATTTCTTCCCTTAGACATGGCTTTTACCTTTAGAATATAATGATTTGAGAACCGAATTCGAAAAAATCTAAAAAGGAAAACGGAAAACTTTTATTGTTAAACCTGTAATATATTTTATATATATATATAAATATTTATTTATTTTATAAAGGAAGCTAGTTGTTAAGGTAAAGGTATTTTTCTTACTAGAAGTTTAGATGATTTAAATAATAATGACCATTATGTAGTCTAAAGGTATTTACATAAACCTTTTCTAATTGAAAATCTCAAGTTTGATTTTAGAGTTTATGTTCTTTTGGCTGGATGTGAACCTTTAAGGACTTATATTTTCAAAGAAGGTATAGCTAGGTTTGCTACAGAAGAATATGAAAGCCCTAATAAAGAGAATTTAGAAAATCTATATATGCATTTAACTAATTATGCAATAAATAAAGATAATTCAAATTTCGAATTTAATTAAGATGAAAATAAAATGGATAAAGGACATAAAAGATCAATGTCTTCAGTTTTTAAAGTTTCTTTTTTTTTTTTAAAAAAAAATAAAAAAATATTAACAAAAATAGATATTTGAAAAGTAAGGATTAGATGTATAGAAATTATGGGAAAATATAAAAGATATGATATTAAAATCATTAATATGTGCATAAGCTACATTAAGTCATCATTATAGGTCTTGTTAACCTGATTCATATGCAAATAATATGTGTTTTGAAATATTGGGATTTGATATAATAGTCGACGAGAAATTAAAACCTTGGCTTTTAGAGGTGAATCATACTCCTAGTTTTACCACAGATACACCTTTAGATAGTTTAATAAAAAAAAATAGCATAAAAGACTGTTTGATATTGATGAATATTAATAACAAATCAAGAAACGAAATTATTTAGACTAAAAAAAATTAATTATAATAAAGAGTATTTACAGGAAAAAAAATTAAACTTTCAAGCGAGGAAAAATCATAGGAAATTTAAAAATGTTAGAAAATTAGAGATGAGTATGAAAATTTACATTTGGGAAATTATGAGAAGATATATCCGTTAGAAGATACTTTTTAAGATGTTTATTAGAAGTTATTTTAGTTTTCTTTACATTTATATGAAAATTGGACTGGAGCGAGTATTATTTATATATTTTTTTATTATGAGTATAATTTTTTTTTTATAATTATAGATATTAGAAGAGTTAGTAAAAGTGAAAAAATAAAAAAAGAAGAATCTAATAAATTTTAAAGTAAAACTTAACCACCTCTTCTTGTGCCTTAAAAAAATCAAATAGAATAAAAAATAGAGAAATAAAATAAATAATAAAATCGAAAATAATAAATTAATTATTCTTTGCGGGTTGGAAATAATTTAAAATAAAAGAAAGAATGTACACAATCTAGACTTAGTGTTATTGAAAATGTAATATAAAAAAAAATATATTTTAGATTTAATAATAAAAAGAATATTACAGGAGAAGATTATTAAGTATAATTACAAATAAATAAATAAAAATTAATTTAAAAAAGTCTTAATTTTCTAATCAAAATGGATAAAATAAATTGTATTAAATATATATATATATATATATATATATATATATATATATATATATTATTTATATATTATTTTATATAAATCAAATTTTTATTTAAAGAAGAAAAATAATAATCAGATATGATTTATAAATTAAAGACATAAAAAACTATTGAAAATAATTCATAAAATTTTAAACATACAATATTTAAGAGATAACAGTCTTTAAATAATTCCAGTTAAGTAATAATTAAATAAGTTAAAAATTTGCCTGGAATAATTAAATAATTTCAAATTCCTTAATAAAATATTGAATATTTAGGTCTAAATTTATAAAAAAGAATTTAAGACTAAAAAAATAATAAAAACTTTTAGTAATTTTTTAATAAAAAAAATCACTATTTTAAAATAAAATTAGGAATAATGGATTGTTCATTTAATAAAAAGTTTTTAATTTAAATGCTTTTAATAAATTTAATGAAGACAAAAAAAAAAAAAATTATAATGAAATTGAATAAAAGTTTTTGGGATTTAATTTATAAAGAAAATGATTAATTTTTATAATTTTTAAAGACATATTAAAGTATATATATACAAAGAGAAATATAAAAAAATTAATTGATTTTTTATTTTATTTAAAAAAAAAAAATATATTTTATTTTAATTAATTAATGTATTCTTTATATTAAAATTTTTAAATTTAATCTATTTTTTTAAGAATTACTTATAGATAGATATTAAATAATTATTAATAGATTTTATATTAATATCTATATATTTTTAATTTCTTTAAAATTTAAAACTAAATTTACACAAAAAATAAATAAAATTTGTTAATATTTTGCTCTTTTTTTTAAAAAGAAACTTAAACATATCTACTAAATATTCTCTTTTTTTTAAAGAAAAAACTCTCTATAAAAATATAATAATAATTAAAGCAAAAACATAATAATAATTAAGACTAATTAAAGCAAAAATATAATAATAATTAAAACTAATTAGATTAAAAATATAATAATAATTAAGACTAATTAAAGCAAAAATATAATAATATTTAAAACTTATTAAAGCAAAAATATGATAATAATTAAAACTAATTAAGACAAAAATATAATTTTTTTGTTTTTATTTATCTTAAAAACGAAAAAACTCAATTCAATATAAAAATACTATTTATTTTATATATTTTTTTTAACAAAAAGATAATGTTTTCCCTTAAACTCTCTAAAAGTTTTTGTTTTTCAAAAATATTCACATAATCCCACATAGATCAATATAAAAAAGACGGTTACACAATTCTCCACTAAGCCCTTCCCTCAAAAATGATGGACGATCTAATTTCTCATACAAATAATTTAATAAAAGTAAATAACATATTTGAAAATAAACTACTAATATTTAGTTCAAATAAAGAATATGAATATCCTGAATTTGTAAATACAGGTGATAAAATCCATTTTTTTTTCGAATAAAATGCTTTTGATGAAAAAAATAATTTAAAAGTTCCAAAAGAATTCGCTTTGAATAAAATCGGACACGCAATGCACGATTTAGACCCTTTATATGAAAAGTTTTCGCATTAACCTTTATATAAATATATTTTAGAATAACTAGGCTATATAAAACCTTAATGCGTATAAAGTATGTATATATTTAAAAATCCAAAAATAGGATCCGAAGTTTTCCCACATAAAGATAATACATATCTTATTACAACCCCAAAATTAACCACTATCGGTTTTTGGTTTGCCTTAGATGATGCTAATTTATAAAATGGATGCCTTTGGGGAGTACCTGCATCTTAAGAAAATAAAACTGAGTACTTTATGTATAAAAATAAGGAAGGAAACAATGTTTATTATGAAGGCGAAAAACCAAATTATGATATTAAAGGTGGAGTCCCTCTAGAAGTTAAAAAAGGAACTATTATTATGTTTGATGGAAATTTTGTACATTATTCAGCACATAATCATTCTTAATAAGCTAGAAATGCATTTACTTTACATTTTGTTGAAACTGAAAATGTGAAATGGCATGAAAGAAATTGGCTTTAGAGATATCCTTAGTTACCTTTTGAAGATTTTTATAAAAAAGTTGATTAATTAAAATAATTAAAAGATATAAATTGAAAAAAAAAAAAAAAAAATAGAAAATATTCTATTATATATATAATTTTTGTTTTTTTCATATTTAAAAGTTTTATAATAAACATTAATCTAAAATATCATTTCTAATTTTTTTAAAATATGCTTATTTTTTTGCAGCTTAATAAATGTATAAAAACCGTTTTTTTAAAGTATTTCTTTAATTTATTAATTATTATAACTCCTTATATTCTTTCCAAGTATCAATTCCAAAATCGAGTTTTAATTTTCTCAGATTAAGTAGATTTTTTATATCCAAAATACTTTTTTTCCCATAACTTTCGTCTATTCTATTCCATTTGAAATTTAAATTTAATTCATTTAAATTTGGCATAAATTATAGACTATTCAAAATTGCTTTACAACCTTCAGTTTCAATTCTATTCCATAATAGATTTAGCTTCAAAATTCTTAAATTTTAGCTTATTTTTTTTAATGATTTACCCATTTAAATAGCACTTTCTTGATTTAATTAATTTCGTGTTTATTAACTATTGAAATTACTTTTTTTTTTTTTTTTAATTTAATAAGTCTTTTTTTACTTTCCGAATTCTAAATTTATATATTATAAATTATTTAATTAATATAAATTTTCCATTAATTATTAGAAAGGTTAATCTGTTATATTATTACTTCCTAATCCTAATTTTAATTTAATTAAGTCTTTTTTAAATATTTAATTTATTCTTTAAGTTGCTTTATCTTGTATAAAATTGCTTATTAAACCTAAAGAAAGTTCTTATATTTTTGTGCATTTTTCAATTGAATTTATTATACTTAAAGCACCTTGTTCCCTTATATTATTACTTTAAATATATAAATATAAATAAAAAAGTATTTTTTACTGATTTAAATTAAATTTTAATATTCTTAAATATTTTAGACTGTACAAACTTTTAGAAAGGTAATCAGCCCCTTAATATTACAATTAATTTCTTTTTTTATTTTTTTTTTTCGGAAAAAAATATAATTTATTTTTGTTAAATAGAAAAAAAAAAAAAAAAAACTCTTTCAAATTAATTTTTAAGGTTACAAGAAATTAATTTTATTAAATAAAAATAGATAAAAATTCGACAGAATTTTTAGTTAATTTATTTGAAGATAGATTTAATTCCAAAAAAATCAAAAAATTTATATTTTAAAACGAACCAAACATATTATTAAGTCCAATATCTGATATTCTTGTACTATTTTTATATTTTTATTATATATGTATATAGAATTTATTTTTATACTATTTTAAATTTATTTATAGAACTTTTAATTATTATAAATTCTCTATTTATAAAGTTTTATATGATTAATTATCAAACAATTATTCAATATTAAAATCTTAACATTTGTTTCCTATTTCGAATCCTTTTGAAAATTATCTTAAACCTTAATTACCAATATAATTTCCCCATAAATTGAGTGATAAGTTTTCCAAATTTTCTATATTTCCAATAATCAAGCCTAAATAATTAGAGGCTTAATCGTTAATTTCATTCCATTCTAAATTTAATTTAAGTTCTTTTATTCTATGCATTTTTTATATAATCTTATATAAAGTTTTACACTTAATATAATTTATATCATTTCTTAAATTTTTTTGTGTTAATATAAATACTTATTATTTTAAAATAAATAAACTTTTATAAATCTAAATGTAATGTAGTTAAACTATATAATTTATTCTCTTTATATAATTTTTTTATTATATTTTAAAATTCATTTAAAGGTAGACATTATTATTATTTATTTCTTTATTTAATTAGTTTTTAAATTAAAAAAAAAAAAAAAAATACTAAGAAAAATCTAGGCAAAGTTTTGTAATAGAAAATTAGGTATTTTACAATTTCTAAAGTTCAGATGTTGAATAAATAGTTAATTCTATATTTTCTAAAATATTATTTTACATCTTATATATATTTATATATATAAATTTTTTTTTTTTATTTAAACTTAATTATAATTAATTATTTTATTGAATAAAATTAATTATTTATTAATGATTTAGATTTTTTATCTTTAAAAATTATAAATATAGATATTAATAGTTATAATGTTATTATTTTATTTAATAAATAAAAAAAAAGCTTATAAATGTTTGAGATATCTTTTGATTATGTAGAAAAAAATATAAAAAAAAAAAATTATAAAGATTAAATATATATATATATATATATATATATATATTTATATTTATTTATAAAATTTTTTATTTTTATTTTTTATTTTTATTATTAAATATTTTTATTTTTTATTTAAATTTATTTATTAATTATTTATTTTTTATATAAAATTATTTGATTAATATATTTAAAATTTTATTAAAAAAAAATTTATAAATATTTTAAGAAAATACTAAATGATTAGTATAAATATATATATAAAATAAAGATTACAAATCAAATTTCCATCGAAACATTTAAATTACCTTCTTAGCTTTCTTGTATAACTGTAACTTATTTTTCAACTGTTCTTGCGAAAGAACTAGCCATGGAATCATTTTTTGCAATTACTAACGCATTTTTACTAATTTTTAAAGCACCTTAAATATCTTTCTTGCCTATTAAAGCAATTGAAATATTATGTAATGTTCCTGCTATATTAATAGAGTTTTCTCCATATTTCTTTTTTTTAATTTAGAAAACTTTTTACAGTTTTTCCAATGCTTCTTCATGCTTTTCTTGTTTTAATTGTACTACGGCTATGTTTTCTAAAGTTTCTGCACTTTCTATATGTTTTTCTCCGAATTTTCTTATTTTTATATTTAAAATTTTGTTCAGTATTTTTAATGCTTCATCATATTCACCTTAAGAAGAATGTAAAATTCCTATATTTTCCATTATATTTAAACACTAATCATGATCTTTTCCGTAGAGATTTAGCTCGATTTCTAATGCATTCTAATAATAAGTCATTGCTTATGAAAAATCATTCTAATATCGTTTCAAAAGTGCCAAGTTATTTATTGTTTTAGCTGCATGTATGCTATTTATTCCATAAACTTTCTCCTTAATCTCCAAGCAAAATTCAAAGAAAACCCCACTCTCTTTAAAATAACCTCTATCTAACAACTCGATACCTAAAGAGTTTAATATTTAGGCCATTTATATATCAGAAAGATCGGGTTATAAGGCTAAATAAAAGTTTTTAGGTTCTGAAAGTTCTGGATTTTTAATAATGTAGTCACAAATGCGCTTCATAGTGTTTTTTTAATGAATTATGGTATTTTGGTTTATTTATTAATTTTTTAAAAAAGATAAAATATCATTTATGAAAAAATCAGCAGCTAATGCCTGCATTTTTTATTTTTCTTCATTATCGTTTTTGGTATAATTTTTTGTATAAAAACGATATTCTTCATTCATTATGTGTATAAACTATTTTTTTTATACATAATGTTGATTCTAATACTAAGGGTATTTCTTTAAAAATTATTCTTTGTTTATTTTTAAACCAAACAATCCAAGAGCTTATTCAAACATATATATATATAAATAAATATATATATAAATATGGAAATAATATTTATTTATAAATACATGTATTTAATTTTTTTTACCTTATATTAACATCAAATAATGTACTTTATCTTATTATAAAAAATCGTAGTTCATAAATATTATTTCGAAGTCTTCTTTTTGGTAATAGAAATTTTCACCTTATGTTGATATTATAAGTTACAATTATTCACGTAAAAATTGTCTAATGTCTTCAGGACGGTTTTACACTACTTAAGCTAATAATTCCTATTTTTTATTTTTTTTATTTTTTATTTTTAATTTTTTATACTGTGAATAATTCTTATATTTTAAACTATTCTACATATTATTCACATTCTATTATTTAGTATTTTTAATTTCTTGTAAGGTTTAATTCTCCTTGTTTTTTTAAATAAGTTAAAACTTCACTTCTTTGCATTTTTTATTTATTTTAATTATATATATATATATATTTATTTTTTATAAAAAAAAGAAACTGTAAATATTATTTATATTTACTTTATTTATTTATTTTCAACATTATTTATTTTTAATTAAAATGTAATTAAGATATATAAAAAACTTTTTTTTAAATAAATATGAATCAATATATATATGATATATTCCATAAATAAGAATAAATATATATATATATGATATAATCCATTTTAAAATAAAAAACATAATACAAATATTATATTAATGAATTTTCAAATTTTTTATATATTTTTTAAAAATTTATAAGTTTTTTTATAATAAAATTTATTCTTATTATTGTAACTATTTTATATATAAATTATTGATAAATATATTTTATTAGTTTATATTTATTTATTTCAATAAGCTAGAGGTATATATTTATTGACTCTATCTACGAAAACTGGAACATTAGTTCCTTCAACAACATCAATAATTTTTCCATCCTATTAATATATTTTTAAAAAAACTAAATTATTTATAATTTTTTTACAGAAATAAATAGAAACTTAGGCTTACATGTTGAACCTTTTTTTAATAATATTAATATTATATAATATAATAATTTATTTAAATATTAGTTTTTTTTACTGAATTTATCGCTTTTATAATTCACTAATTTATCTTAATCAAGCTAATTAATTTATAAAAAATTATAATTGAATAATTGTATATATTTTTTACAAGTAAAATGTCTATTCTTTTTTCAAAATCATCAATACTTAACATAAGTTAATTATAAGTTGGGTACATAGCAGTACAGGGTCCAGACCATCCAGGATATATATCTACGACTATTTTTAAAAAATAAATAAAGTAGAGAGTATATAATTAGTTATTTTATAATATGAAATTATTATAATATAAATTTGTTACCGACAAGCTTTTTATTTTGTTCATTGTAGAATTACATGAAATGCTCTTCACTTGTAATTGTCGTCATAATTTCCTACTTTTTCTTTCTTCCTGCCATTTTTTTTATTTTATTTTTTTTAAATATAATTTTTAAATAATAATTATAATATGTAAATAAAAAATAGCAATATATTATTTATTTATACATATAAATATGTAAATATATATTTTTTTATGTTTCATAAAAACTATTTTATTTTATTATTAAAAAAATAAAATATAATTTAATTTTTTTTTTTTTATAAAAATCTTTTAAAATTTATATATATTATAAAGCCAGATTAATCGCTCTAAAAAATAAATAAAAGAAGAATCAAATATTAAAAACATAGAATAACCGAAAAAGGAATAACAGGTTTAAGAAATATACTTTATCTGTAAAAAATATTTTTTTAAAAAATATTAATGCATTTTTATTTGTCTAAATGCATATATGATTACAGGGTTTTATAATGTTTACAATTTTATTTTAGGAAATTATTATTAATTATTTAACAGGCATAAGTTTAGAAAAATTAAATAAAATAACTATTTGGTTTTAGTATATAAAATCTTATTTGAAATAAATATATATATATATATATTTAATTATAATTTATGATAAAAAAAAAGTCAATCAATTTTCATGTTATATATAGTTTGATTTTAATTAAAATTTAATCTAATATATTAAAAATTATTTAATATTAATTAAGTAATGCTTTTATTGTTAAATATTTATTATTAAAAAACTTTTATAAAGAATAAAAAATAAAAATTTAAAATTATAATTAAATTATGAAAAGAACGTTATATAAAAGATAGCTTTTTGAAAAAAAATATATTATTCATAATATTTAATAATTTTATATAAAAAATAAATATATTATTTATTTAAAAATAAAATAAAATAAATTAAATTAAATATATGAATTAAAATATTGTTCAAGGTCCTTGGACATAAAATTAAAATATGCAAGACATATCATACTAATGGGTATAAAAAATACCTGATATCCAATATATAGAAAAAGGTATTCCAATAATGTGTTTTGCTTAAGATTCAGCTACGAGAAATTTAGCTATGGAATTTAGAGTAATAATAATAAAAAAATATCATAAAGATAATTTTCAAATAAAAACAGTTAATAAGAAAAATAACAGAAACATAATATCATAATGAAAAATTAAAATAATTTGACTCAAATTTGAGTAAAATGAACAGATATAATACAATATTACCTTGTATAGTTTTTAAAAAAGAAATTATAATTATTTTAATATTCTTTTTATTTTTATAGACACCCATACAGAAGTTATTTTAAAATAAGATCATGATGATAATGAAGAATGTTATATAAATGCATCATATATAAATGTACAAATAACATAATAAAATTAAATTATAAAAATATAAAAAGTCTATTTTTGAAAATGAAGGGGAGAAAAGATTTATTGCTACATAAGGACCTTTACCAAATACAATTGCAAATTTTTGGAAAATGATATATATTTTTAATACTGAAACAATCGTTATGTTATGTAATTTAAAAGTAAAAATCAAATATATATTCTATTTTTTTATATATATATATATATATATATATATATATATATATATATATATATATATATATATATATATATTTTGTTAGGAAAATCATAAAGTTTAATGCGAATAATATTGGCCTAATTAAGTTGGATAAACTTGTTAGTATTAAAAATTTTAAATAACATTAAATTCAGAGGATATTATTTATGAAAAGTTACATAAAAGGCAATTATTAATTTCAAATAATTAATTAGGTGAATAAAAAGCAGTTACATAGTATTAAGTGATATTTTTTTTATAAAATATAAATTAATTAATTAATTTTTTTTTTTTTTTTTTTTTCAGTTTATTGATTGGAAAGATCACGGAATTCCTTCTGAAACAGATTTTAATATAATTAATTTTATAGTCCAATTTATGATTGAAGAATATGAAAAAAATAAAATTAGTGTAATTCATTGCAGGTAAAAAAAATCAATAATAAATAATAAAATTATAATTAATATATTAAAAGTGCTGGAGTAGGAAGAACAGGAACAATTATTTCTTTAGTAAATTTAATGTTAAATATTAAATGCTATTTACCATAAATTTAAGAAACTATAAAAAATAAATGTAATTTTTTTATATTTAAAAAAAAAATTAACTTCTATTTATTTATTTAGAAAACTTAGATAATTTAAATCATTGTACTATAAGTGTTTTTGGAATTGTAAGAAGATTAAGAGAATAAAGATGGGGAATGGTCAATTAACCGGAATAATATGAATATATATATAAATTTATTAAAATATAAATTGATAAAATTTTAAAAGATTATAAATTTGATATTGTATTTGGATTATAAATGAACTAAAGTTTAGATATTATAAAATAAGATTTGTGAATAAAAAATATAATATAAGTTATATTAAAAAATAAAAAAAAATTGATTAAAAAAATAATATATATAAATTAATGTTTAATAATTTTTTTTTTTTATAATTATTAATATTATTTTTGTTTTTAGAGAAAAAATATTAGAAAAATTAATTAAGAAAATATTTTAATTATAATTTCAATTTGATTTTTTTATTATATATATATATATATATGTTTTTTTATTTTATTAATTAATATAATTTTTTTTTTTTTAATTTACATTTTGATTAATAATTTTTGGATTTTTTATATATTTTTAATTAATTGAAATACTTTTTTTAATTAAAAAAAAAAAAAAAATCCTTGAAATATTTTAGATTATCCAATAAAATTAAAGATAATAGAATTTTTTAATTTATATAAATAAAAATAAAAAAATTAATAATTATAAATATTGCAAAAAAAACTAAATAGAACATATAAATAAAAAATAATTAAAAAAATAAAAATATTATTTTTAAAAATTAAAAAAAAAATTTAAAAAAAAAAACACTAAAAAAAATAAAATAAAAAAAATAATAAAAAAAAATGGCAAAAGCTTAATCAAAATCCAAAAGTAGATCTTCTTCAAAACCCGCTTAAAAATAATAATAAAAAGTAAATGTTCCTAAATAAAAGGCTGTAAAGAAAGTTGCTGCTAAGGTAAAATTAAAAATTTATAAATATTTTTTTTTTTTTAAACAAAATAAAAAAAAAAGTAAACAAAGACTTAACATAAAAAAAAAGTTGCTCCTGCTTAATAAGCTAAAGGAGGTAAAAATTTGACTCACGCCCACTAACATAGTCATTCTCATGGTGTAAACCACTCTCATAATCATTCTCATAAAGCAGGTGATGATCACAATCATGCTGATGCTCACGCTCACGCTCACAATCATGAAGATGCTCATCATGCTAAGAATAACAAAAAAGCTGCCGCACATCATGCCAACGCTAAGAAAGCTGCAGTCTAATCTAAAGTAAGAAAAGCCCCTACTAAAAGAGTTGCTGCTTAACCAAAAGCTGCTGCTAAACCAAAAGTAAGTAAAAAAAAAGCTGCTTAAAAGAAAGCTGGAAAATAATGAGAAATATTTATTAAATAATATACGTTTGTTATTTTTTATTTTATAAAATTTTATAAAATATTTTTTTTTATAATAAATGTTTTTTTTTTTTTTAATTAACATTTTAAAAATTAAAAAATTCTTAAAAAAATAAATAATTATAATATGAAAAACTAATTGTAAAAATTTAGGTTAATATAAATAAAAATAAAATGATATTAAAAATAATACAATTATGATATATGTTAAATAAAAAAAGAAAAAAAAAATATTAAAAAAAATAAAAAATAAAAAAATAAATACATAATAATTAATTTACATAAATGACCAAAATATAAATTAATTATAATATAAAATATATAAACATATGTATATGTATATATATAAAATTTATTACATGTTTTTTATAGTTAAGTTATTTATATAATATTTAGTATATTCGATTATTCTTAATCTCCTGCCAAACTAAAACTAATTATGTTTATTAGTACAAAACTTATAACTAATCCCAATAAATTATATAAAAATAATTTAAATATCAGACACCAAACTCTAAAATTAATCCAAACACAACATGTGCTCATATAGCTACGAATATTTAAAAAAAAAATATTTTCCTTTTACAAATACAGGATATATATGCAACCAAAATATGTAGTATTTTTCTTAGAAAAATGCTAATTTTAATGTTTTTCTTTATAAACTCAATATTCATAAATGTCTATTATATATAAAGTTTAAGGACAGACAGTTTTTATTTTCTGTGTATTAATAAATAGAAAGAATTTCCGAAAAAAATGTTAATAAAATTTGCATTTAAAATACTTATCATAATTGTCTGATTAATTATATTTTCTATTCTAAACTAGAAAAAAAGAGAATTATAAAAATATAAATTGATAATAATTCCCTAATTTTGCATTTTTTCGCGTTCTGAAAATCAAAGTTTGACTATAACTTAATGAACTATTTCGTTTTTAGGAAATAGCTTATATATACATGATATTATTAATATTTCAAATTCGAATATACTTAATGATTTTTATTAAAAAAAATAAGTCAGTTTTTGTTAAAATAATGATAATAATATAAAATATATTAAATTAGTAGTTTAGAATACGAATAGGTTTCAGGAAATGGGTAAAATACTAATATATAAAAATAAGATTAAAATAAAATATAGAGAAATTATAGTTTAAAAATAATGAGTAAATAGCTAATTTTTTTAATCATATAATATTATTAGTAAAACAGACTATATTTAAACTTGTAATATTAGAGGACATAATTATAATAAATATGATAATCTTTATTAAAATAATAATTAATAAAATTAAATATAAGTAGATAAAGGTAATGCTGAATCATTAGAATATAATTTTCTATGTTTGTAAAGCTTGGTTTTAAAATTTTTGATAAAAATATGATTTAATGGTACAAAAAGTTTTTATATATATATTATATATATAATTTTTTAAATATAATTAAATTAAATTTTTCTATGTAAATTTATAAAAATAACATTTAGAGGTGGAGAGATGTATTTTTTTTAGATAATTTTAATATTTGAAAAAATAAATAATAATTTTAAAAAATAAATTTATTAAAAGCGTTTTATAATTTGAAAAGTAAAATTAATTGTTTTTTATTAAACTTTTTTATTTTTAAATAATTTTTTTATTTAAATATAATTATTATTATATCAAATTTCTTCTAAAGCTATAGAACTTGTATTTTTTAAGCTTGTTTCTTGTTATCTTTAATTATTATCATTAATTTGAATTTATTTATATTTAATTTAATTAATATAAAAGTTAATTTCTTATAAATAAGTTTATTCTAAAATAATAAGCTCATTTGTTTATATTTCAAACAAGTCTTTTAAGTTTTTTACTTCTCTTATTAATTTTTTATTTTCCTCGACTAGATTTTTATTTTGAACTTAGTTTTGATTATTAATTTTTTAATTATCTTATATACCTTATTATTTTTCTTAATTTTTTTCAATTTATTATTTTTCCTAATTTTTTTCAACTTATTATTTTTCCTAATTTTTTTCAATTTATTATTTCTCCTAATTTTCTTATAATGACTTTTTGTAAAACTCGAATAGATTTTCAATTTCTATTAATTATTTTGCTTTTTCATTAAATTTATCAACTAAATTTTTCAAATTAATATTATATTATTGATTAAAATTTTCTTTAATCTGAACTATTTGTTCACTCTAATTTTAATTTACTTTAATTAAATCGTTAAATTTATTCACTAAAATTAAACATTTTTCAGATAATTAAACCATGGTTTATTGTGTATTCTAATATTCTTATAAAAATTAATTACCTACGGAATTTTCCGAGTTTTAAAATTGTTCCATATTTTGGTTTAATTAATAAACATCTTGATTGCAATTAATTTATTCAAGTAAATATTAAATTTAGTTTTCTAAACTGGATATATGATTATTTTAATATTTTAGTTTGTTGTTAACAAGATCATTTTATATTTTTAAGTTTTCTATTTATATATTTGATTGGATTATTTATTAATATTACTATTTTATTTTATTATTTTCTTCATTATTTTATAAATATTTATTGAATTTGTCTTCTAAAGCGTTCATATTATACTATATATTAGAATTTTATACTATTTCCTTTTACATTATATTTAAATTAATTTATAATGTATTCTAGAATTATTATAATCTTTTTAAAAAATAAAATATTTTTATTTTATATATTTTTTTTATTAAAACATTTTTATTATTTAAAAAAATTAAAATGGTTTTTTTTTTATTTGATATAAATATATATATAAAATTATTATATATTGTATATATTATTATTTTTTAAATAAATATATATTATTTACATTTATTCTTAAGTTATTTTTTTTTTATTATTCTCTTATTCTTTCTATAACATTAATTAATCTTCAATAAGTTCAAATTTGATTTATTCATAGTTTTTATTTTACAATTCTTAATTTTATTTTTCTAAAAGCTTAATATATTTAAAATTATCTTAATTTCTTTTAATAATTTCTTCAATTTTTTTTTCATAAAATTTCTCTTTAATCTTCATAATATTAATATTTTCTTCCAACAATTATCTATTTAAAATTTCTTCTTATAACTATTTTTAAGTTTTTACAATTTTTTATTAAAGACCATTACTTACTTATTCAAAAACATTCTCATAGTATATTTTCTCAACATTTTCATCGCCTAAATTTTAAAAGTAAAAAATTTCTTAAATTTATTAAATTCTTTATTAAGCGTTTTCTAATTTTTCTTTTAAACTTTTATTTTATTCACTTAAATTTATAAATTAATTAGAATTATTATCATTATTTTTTTCGTTATTTTTCTATAAATCATATATTTAACTTTAAAGTTCTTAAATTTAAATTGAAAGTTATTTTATTTATGTATATTCAAGCGAATTTAGTTCATTTTTACTTAAAAAATTATAATTGAATTATTATAAATTGATTAATTGATTTGTATTAAAAATATATTTTTTTAATTTTTCTTAAATAAAATTTAAATTAATATTTGTTTGAATTTATTATTCTAAAGATTCCTTTAAATTATCCTTTTCATCTTTTAATTAATTTATTTAAGATTAATTTAAATTTATTTAATTTTATAAAGATTATATTTTTTCAAATAATTAGCATTCTTTAGTGTATGCATTTTCCAAAAAATCTTTCATTTTTTTGAATTATTCCATTTTTTGGGACAAAAGGGGGATTTTATCTTTTATATCTTAGTTTATGAAGTTTAATGTATTAATTAATTCGAAATTTTTTTATTCTAAATTATAATTATGTAGTATTTAATATTATAGGAAATTATATAATTTAGATATAAAGTATAGTTCTGATGGAATTTCAAAAAGAGAGACATTAGTATTGTTTTTTATTTGCTTTTCGATTAATTATTATATAGGTTTAGAAATTAAATTTTAATATTACTATTTATCTATAGAAGATTAAAGCTATATAAATTATTTAAATTATTAATTAAAATATTCTTATATTTATTAATTATTTATATACTATTGTTCATATTAATTTTATAAATTTTTTATTTTTCAATAAATTATTAGTGTGTATTTTCTAAATTTTAGATTTTAATTTCTTCATTTTTATTTTGATTTATTTTTTTAAAATTTAATTTTTGTATTTTTTTTTTAAACTAGTAAATTTATTTTCATAATTTCTTTTGTGCATTTGATTTTCTTAAATTAATTTTATAAGTTTACATTCTAGTTCATTCTTTTCATTATTAAGTTAACAAATTTAACTTTAATATTATTATTTTATATTATTAAGTTCTTCTTTAATATATATTTCATAATTTATAAAATCTGCTTTTTGTTACACATCTTGATCAAATTAAAAACCTTATTTTTCGATTTTATAGTTATCTTTATCTTTTATACTCTATTTTAATATAATTATTTCTTTTTATTAATCCTATTATATTTAAATATCTTTTTAATTTATCTCTGTTTATTTTAAATATAACTAATTATTTAATATTGATAATTATATATCAAATTATTGTTATTATTATTACAAGTCGCTTATTTATTGAAGAAGTTTATTATTTTTTAAAATTAAATTTTAATTTATTTATTGTTCATATTATAATTTTTAATCACAATTTTAGCAAAAATTACGATCTTTTATTAAGTTTTCAATCTATTTTTATAAATTATCGATTTTATTGTTTCTGCATTACATTATTTATTATGATTAAAAATTAATTGCTGATAATTAACAAATTTTACGCTCATATTTGTTAATAAGTGTTTCCATTTATATTATAATATGTATAAAATAACAAATTAATTATTAAAAAAAATATAAAGTGATATAAAAAAAAAATATTAAATAAATTAAATAAATTATTAGGTTAATTATAAAACAAAGTTATACAATCTTTTAATTATTTTGTGTCTATATAATATAAAAATAAAATATCATTTTTTATAGAATTTGCATTATAA